AAAGAAAGAAAGAAAGAAAGAAAGAAAGAAAGAAAGAAAGAAAGAAATTGGTTGGGGGTCAGGCGATTAAAATTCAGGTGTGGCCACCACGTGCCAAGAACTTCTCTCATATTAATCTGCTTCCTCAGCAATGCATTTCCTCACCAGTTACTGTGACACTGAGGCTCCTCTAGGTAAAGCTGTTCACCCATCCTTCTCTTCAGTGAAGTTCTTGGTTTTGTTGTTGTCTGTTTTAAGCAAGTCCTATCATACGATTTCTTGAATAGGAAGAATAAAAAATCCCTACTTAATAAATGGCCTTCAGAGACAGCTGTAGCAGGGGCCATGTATACAGTAATCCCAGCACTTGGAAGGCAGAAGCTGGTGGCTTGCAGCCAACTTGAGGACAACCTGATCCACATAGGAAGACCTTTTGTCAAAGAAATGAGATTGGGTGGATGAGGGAGGCAGGGAGAAGGAAGGAGAGGAAGGGAAAGGAGAGGAACAGGAGAGAAGGGAAGTGGAGGAAGAAAGTAGACTACAAGATAAAAAAAAGATGGTATTCCTGGGCATAGCTCTCTTGCATTACTTCTTAAAGTGGATTATGTTTATTTAAAAATTGCTTCACTCACTATTACAGATTATTAGAGAGATCCATCTGTAGCTCCTACATGTCAAGTACAGCATAGTTCCTGTGATCATTTCCGCTCAGATCCACAGTGGCTCTCCAGAGTGGAGAGCAGTCCAAGGAGACACTACTTTTCTAGACTATGTTAATCTGTCCCCACAGATCCTGGATCACAGCTACCTGTTCACACATTGTCACTTGGAGCAGCACTCCCACAAGTCCAGAGGGTAGGTTCTAACCCAGATGTGCTAAGAACAAACCAAATGGTTAGAAGTCTACCAATCCTGGCTGGCAGAGAAACCGCTATGGTAATGGCAATGGTCAACAGGTCTCAAGCTCTCCAAACTGTTCTCAGGGCTCCACTGGGCTCTGAGTAAGTGGTAGAGGTTTGAGGCTTGGTTCAAAATATGCAATATAGATAGATAGATAGATAGATAGATAGATAGATAGATAGATAGATAGATA